TTCCCTGTTATAGCACTCTAGTTTCTCAAAGATCACAATTACAGATACTTTCTGGTCTGATATTTGCATCTGTGGACAGGGAAATGGACTGCAGCCATAATGTTTGGGAGAGACCTACTTTGATGTGACAAACGGTAAACCTCACTTTCAGCAGAGCCCCAGTACAGTGGGTGACAATCCAGACGCCCCTCAGAAGCCAGACCCCAGAGTTCTGGTTTCCCATATTACCTTTAGGAAAACTGTAGGAACCATAATTTATTACTCATGGCATTAGGAGCAACAGTTCATACATCTCTCCCACTTAGTCTACAAAACACAAAATGATGCTGACAGTGGCTCTTCTCATATTAGAGGAACAAATAATAGCTTGTCTGCTGTAAAAATTAATGCGCCTACTCTGAATGTTTGAACTGCATGGCATGGAGATAGTTTTCCAAATCGGTGACATTTACAGAGAGAGAACTACATTAAGAATGCAAATAAATATCTCCAGCCTGCCAAATCATTGCAATTAGAGCAGGCTCTCTCTGTGGTTTGGAAAAATGTTATGTCTAGAGGATATTTTGTCAGCGCCAGAGGACGGAAAAAAAAATACTGGGACATTATTTTCTCTCTCTTTTATTTTTTTAGTTTTTTTGTTACAGAGCAGAATCTCATTCCGTTTTCAATAACACATATAAAACTCACTATGTCCTGATAAACACACAACTACGTGCAGCTGCTCCTTTTCTAAATGCTATACATTATAGTAGTATTTCTTTAAGTAAGGTTAGTGTTCTGGAATTACATTTTAATTATTTGGACTATGTTGCAGGAAATCACTGTAAAAGTATACTTTATTTAAGCTCCAAAACATAACAATCACTTAATCAGCAGTCATAGCCACCCAAACATAACCTGGACTTACTTCTATTACAGTGTTTAAAGTTTATTTAATTTAGCTAGAGGAATATACTAACAATTAGGTCCCATTCACTGATCATTTTGTAGCTTGAAGCTTGAATCTTCAAAATGCTCAGGGAGAAAAAAATGAATTATTCTCTATGGAGATGGTTCACATCTCCACTCCAAGGCATCTGAACCCAAACACCTGAAGCTCAAAAAAAGCTCACTGTTACACCCTTGTATCTTGTAGTGTATCCTAGCCCATATATCATCCTCTGGCACTTAGTTTTCTTCTAGCACTTGCACAACCAGGAGTCCACAGCATGGTCTTTACTCACAATGTCCCAGGAGCTATCTGCCACCCAGCATCCACAGGTAGATCCTCAGTGAGGAAGAGAAAAGATCCTTCTCTAGACCAGGACTCCAGGATGATGCCCCCAGCAAAGAATCCTTTATAAATCCTCTCCAGGCCCTCAGCTCAACACCTGCTGAAGCCCAAACTGCAGTTTCTTGTCTCACAAGCTATCTGCCAGGGGCAGCAGCCCCAGGAAAAACAGGAACCCTCTCCATAGTGGCCAACATTTCAAAAATATATTTTTAGGTACACCATTTTTTTTCCTGTGTATCCAGAAAGCCACTGTAGACAGAGCATTGTGTTACTTAGGGGTGGGACATTCCTTTACTATGGGCATGTTTCTATAGGAAGGAGGAGAAATGAAAATGTGGTGGGAAAAGTACACTGCGGTGAAAATTGGGTATGGTTTAAATTACACTAAATGTTGGGTGTGACTTAAAGTGGGTTTAGTTAAATACAGTCTGAGATTACTTACATCAGTGTTACCCAATCGAGGTTCTGTAGAACTCTAGGGTTCCATGAGAGGTCCCCAGGGTTATGCCATGATCTACCTGTTCATCACAGGCAAATGAACTGTGGATCACATCCTCACATAACTGACAGGCTGCAGAGTGCAGAGATAAACAACTTGCATCACTGTCATGTGCCAGTCTTGCCCTTTTTGTCCTTCCTAAGTGCTTGTATGTGACATCACTCATGAGGGATAAGAGAGAAAGGTGGGTGGAAATCAGCATGTAAGATATGATTCAGCAGCTTTCCTAACTGCTACAGATCCCAGTATTACATAGTTACATAGTCTATCCAGTTCAACCTCCAGTTTCCTCCTGTAATATACTGTTCTCTCCTGGCCCCCCCTGTGCTATGCTGTTCCCTCCTGCCCCCTCCCCCTCCGTTATACTGTTCCCTCTTGGCCTCCCTATGCTAATCCCTCATGCCCCCCCATGCTATATTTCTTCTCTCCTGCCCCCCCACATTGTTCCCTCCTTGTCCCTTTATACTTGTTCCCTCCTGTGTTATGCTGTTCTCTCCTGGCCCCTCTGTGCTATGCAGCTCTCTTCTTGCCCCTCTGTGCTATGCTGTTCTCTCCTGTCCCCTCTGTGCTATGCTGTTCTCTCCTGCCCCCTCCTATACTGTTTCCTGCTGTGCTATACTGTTCCCTCATAGCCTCTCTCTGCTGTACTGTTCCTTACCCCCCCCCCCCCCCCCATACTGTTTCCTCCTGGCTGCCCCACTGCTATACCGTTCCTTCTTGACCCCCGATTGGCATCATCATTTGGTCCTTTGGCTCCTGTTGTTCTCAATGGAGCCCTTGGTTCTTCTTCTTTCCTGCTGAAACCCCCCCATCCTATCCACTGACCTACACATATTCACTAGCCAGAGCCCATTTGCACAGCAGCCTGCTACTATAATTAGGGAGAGATTTGCAAGGAAGAATCATGGAAGACAGAGGTAATATCACCCGCCTGCTCAGTGCACTCAGTCAGCCCCCCATTCAGATCCATGTAACACCTGGACAGTCTATACAGGATGTTCAGGGCAGCATGGCAAGCATACACTTCCCTGAGAAATAAACTCCGCCCACCTCCTCTTCTCTGTACAATCAGTGGCCAGGGTTGCAAACAACCAATAGGAGAGTGCTGCCCTTTGCTGCAGTCTGACAGCATTTAAGATGAAAGGAGAGCAGCGATTGGACAGCTGCCAAGAAAGGGTGAATTGGTGTACAGAACTGCTCCCGAAACTGATTGGCCCTAGGGTGACCACGCCCCCCTCACTCAGGACTGACCAATCTGCAAACAGGCAGGTACTACCTGGCTGCCTGGAGGCAGAGGAGGTAGGGGAAGCAGGGGATCTCTCTGTGTGTCTCTATTATTACCCCAGAGCCGCAACCATTTTCCATACAGTGAACCGGCAAGAGTCTCAGCTTAATTTTTGGGATTCTGCCTGGGACAAGACTTTCGGGACTGTCCCAGGCATTATATAACTGTTGGCACTGCAGCGGTTTTGAGGAAGATCAAATAAGTCCCCAAAAGAAAATAAAAAACAAACAAACCTTCCCCCTGGCAGGATCAAAACCTTGCAAAACTGTAACACAGAGAGAAACTAAGGTAGACACTATATTCTGTGTTATTACTGCTGACAGACTGCATGATACCCTGTTTCCCTTAAAATAAGACCTACCCCGAAAATAAGACCTAGTGCTATTTTTTTGGGAATTGCTAAAGTATAAGACCTACCCCGAAAATAAGACCTAGTTGTGATCAGGGCTTTATTTCAGCCGGAACATGGCGGAACACCATTCCGCCACCTTCGGCACTGGCCCTGTGCACACCCATACCTACTGTCTCTTATAAACACAGAAGCGCTGCTGAAGTGACAGCACCATCCGCTCCCCCCACAGAACCTCCCTACCCCTGTACTCACTGTGGGACAGGGAAGGAACAGATATCTGCGGGTGCAGTATGCAGTGTGTTTAGGGGTGGGGCATCTCCTCCTGCAGCCTAATGCATGGAAGCTGATGCCCCAGGGGTGATCACTGGCCAGTGGGGAAGAGATGGAGCGGTGTGAGTAAGTGCACTTGGTGCACTGTGTGGGAAGATAGGACCCAAAACGGGAGTTACTATAGAGAGGGGCCGGCTGCTGACAGCTGTGTTTTGCAAAGCTAGCTAACCATATGAGGGCAGTGGAGGGGGAGGGGATGTGCAAAGGTGAGCTGCAGTCAGGTGTTGCAGAGGTAAATTGAGTCAGGTGAGTTGCAGATAGGGTGCATGGGTGAGCTGAGTTGCAACCCACCTTTGCACCCCCCAGCCACAGCTCAGCTCTGCACCCCCTGGCCACAGCTCAGCTCTGCACCCCCTGCCCACAGCTCAGCTCTCCACCCCCTGGCCACAGCTCACCTCTGCATCCCACGTCTGCAGCTCACCCCTGCACCCTGCCTGTGGCTCATATCTGCACCCTGGCTGAAACTCACCTGTCAAGTCTCCCCCGCAAAACCTGACTGCAGCTCACAACTGTCATCAGCCGCCCTCTCTATAGTAACCCTCATCCACAACTGCCTGCAGCTCACCTCTGCACCCCCTGTCCACACCTGGACATTTAAAAAATAAGACCTACCCGAAAATAAGACCTAGTGTGTTTTTTTTGAGCCAAATAAAATATAAGACAGTATCTTATTTTTGGGGAAACACGATATATGTAATTTTGACCTTTGACCAAAGTCCTACTTTAACCATAAACAATAGCAAAGCACATAATATGGCTTTTGTGGTCTGTATATGGCAAAAAAAAAATCCAACTCAAGCCCAAACCTTTTTTTCTTGTCCCCATTGAATGGGGTGAGGAATGGTTGGAGCTTCTGTTGGTAATTCGTTGCTGTTTGTGTCCTTATTGTTTTCAATTAAGGGGGGATATGATCAACATGTATAAATACATCAGTGGTTCATATAGTGAACACAGTGTAAAGTTTTCACCCTGAGGTCCTCACAGAGGACAAGGGGGCACTCTTTATGTCTGAAGGAAAATAAATTTAATCTCCAAACATGGAAAGGTTTCTTCACAGTAAGAGCTGTGAAAATGTGGAATAGACTCCCTCAAGAGTCGGTTCTGGCCAGCTCATTGGATTGCTTTAACCTCCTCCCGCCCGCCATATAGTACAATGATGGGCGCAAGGCGGTTCTCTCGTTCTGGGAGGACATCATATGACGTCCTCCCATTCTAACCGTGCATGCGCGGCTCTGGGAGCCCGCAGCACGGCGATCAGCTGTGCGCTGTGTCCCTCGGACACAGCAGATCACCGATCAACAGAAAGAGCCGAAGATGTCGGCTCGGTCATGTGATCAGCTGTGTCCAATCACAGCTGATCACATGTAAACCGGAAATTCCGGTTATCGGCATTTCTCTCCTCATGAGCTGTCACGCTCCTCGGAGGGGACATGTACACAGATCATCAGAGCACTGATGATCAGTGTGCCCTGATGATCTGTGTAGCCCCAGCAGTGCCACCTGTTAGTGTCCATCAGTGCCAGCTGTCAGTGCTCTCCATGCCACCTGCCAGTGCCCATCAGTGCCACATTTCAGTGCCACATCAATGCCACATATCAGTGCCCATCTGAGCTGCCTTTCAGTGTCACCCATCAGTGCCAGTCAGTGCCACCTATCAGTGCCACCCAGGGGCGGACTGACCATTTGGAAACTCGGGCACTGCCCAAGGGCCAGGGTCAGTAGGGGGCCCCATGAGATGTCCCTGGTACCTTTTTCATAGGCTTTTTTGAGTGTGGGCAAGGACACAGGGGCCCCATGATCCCCTATAGCCCAGGGCCCCATGAGTTGTCAGTCTGCCCCTGGTGCCACCTATCAGTGCCAGTCAGTGCCTCCTATCAGTGCCAGTCAGTGCCACCTATCAGTGTGCATCGGTGCCGCCTATCAGTGCCCACAGTGCTGCCTATCAGGGCCACCTAACAGTGCCAGTCAGTGCCACCTAACAGTGCCAGTCAGTACCGCCTATCAGTGCCACCTATCAGTGGCATATATGAGTGCTGCCTTTCAGTGGCCATCAGTGATGCTTGTCAATGCCCATCAGTGCCACCTACCAGTGCTTCCTCATCAGTGCCACCTATCAGTGTCCATCAGTGCAGCCTATCAGTGCCCACTACAGCCTCATTAGCGCACACCAGTGAAGGAGAAAAAATCACTTATTTACAAAATTTTATAACAAAAACTAATAATTTTTCAAAATTGTTTGTGGTTTTTGGTTTAAGAAAAAAGAAAAAAACCCAGAGGTGATTAAATACCACCAAAATAAAGCTCTATCTGTCACAAAAAAAATGATTAAAATTTCATGTGGGTACAGTGTTGCATGACCGCACAATTGTCATTCAAAGTATGACAGCGCTGAAAGCTGGAAATTGGCCTGGGCAGGAAGGGGGTATAAGTGCCCTGTAGGCTAGTGGTTAAAAAAGGCGTGGATTCTTTCTTAGATACACAGAATATAACTGGATACTAACATTTATAGGTAAAGTTGATCCAGGGAATGTCTGATTGCCTCTAGGGGGATCAGGAAGGAATTTGTTTCCCTGCAGGAGCGAATTGGATCATGCTTAGCTGGGTTTTTTGCCTTCCTCTGGATCAACTGTGGGTGTAGGATTATAACTTTTAATTTTAGATACACATTTGTCTTTTTTCAGCCAGACTAACTATGTAACATAAAAGGCACTTTAAAGGCTTATGTTTTACAGACAAGTACTATGTTTAAAAATAAAAAAGAATTGTGCACTGCCAATGTGCTGAATAAATTCTAAATAATGAGCTGCTGCAGACACGTGTTATGTGTGTAAACATAAAAGCAAAATGAATAAAATAAAAGTGTTGTGCTGCTGACAAGAGACAATAAATATAAAAACAAACTTACATGTCCAAAAAATTATGAAAAATAAATTCTTAAAAATGTCAGAAAGAGTGGAACATCTTCCTGCTGGTGACTGCACCCAAATTCCCAGTGCTGTAAGTCTTCAATAACCGTGAATCACCACAGTGAACATATACATCCAGGTGGACCCTCACCTTCTCACATGGACCTGCATGTGAACACAGGTCAGAAAAGCATCTCCCCTATTAGAGGGGCTCCAGCTCTGTGGATAAAGCTCAACAACCACAGAGAAGACCATAGTGCAGTATGCTTTTTATTTATGCTTTATTTAGACATATACACTCAAATGGTAACTACATAAAAAAAAGCAATAAAACAATGAGCAAAGCAATCAATGAAGAGCAAAGTCCCGTCTGTCAGATCGGCATTGGAGTGCTGACATCACCCGACTCCTCCCATACTATGTTTAGCCAAATGAAAGTAGACTCGGCAATCTGAGTACATCCATTATTTAATGACTCTGTTAAATCTTTATTATTTTTAAACAATTTATTTTATTGCATATGCATTGCATTAATGGCTTGCTGGAAAACAAATTTCAGGTGACCTTGGGGGCAAACCAAGACGAAGGTTAATCCAAACAATGTTTATTTACCAAAGAGGACAAGGAGACCTTGTTGAACTATATTTTGTAAACTAAAAAAAAAAAAAACTATTTCCAGACGCAGACGAGGACAAATGGTTTATCAGTGAAATACCATGTCATTAGGCCAAACCTGCACAGCACGCTGCATCTTAATTATTATATGTGATAACTTGTTTACATGCACATCAGGTTTAAGCATTCAGAATCCTAGCCGAGTAAAGACAATGAGAAACAAAATAGCAGAGTGCCAATACTGCGGCAGAGCTCGGAGCACATTATCACAATGGTAAACCATAAATAAGGGCCTGCATTTCCTGTATGAGCTCATTCCATCTGTTTTTGGCTTTAGGCAGCATGTCAGTGAATCTGCATTTACATTTTGGTCACACAAGAAGCACGAGATAGGAAGTGTGAGGAGAAAACAGTATTTATGAACCAGACAGCTAAGACACACAAGAAGATGACAAATGTTTCTGATTTGTAGGGACAGTTATTTCTGTATAAATAGGAATGAGCAGATTTAAAAAAAAAAATCTCTGCTGGAGATTTACATAGATCCAAGTATTGGTCAATTAGGTGACAGATAAATGGGTTATGGAAAATGTCATAACTATTAAAATATATATTTTAATAGTTATGACAAAACTATCAATCCCTCAATAAAAATACGACATGAAGAACACATAGTGTGTCACAGTAATATACTCTGCCCCCCTTCACACCACCCCCCACAATAGTGACCTCTGGCCCTCCCAAGTAATGTCCTCTGCCCCCTTCACATCAAAATGTCATAACTATTAATTGTAAGGGGTTTTAAAGGGTTATTTTAGGGTGCATCATCTAAATGTACCATTCTATACATTTTCCCCCTTGAACCTTAACCTGTCTGTACAAAAAGGTACTGGTAAAAGTATGGAGAAAAGTACAGTATGTTTTTTTTTTTTTATAATGGGTGTAATTAAAGTAGAACCTTTTATTTTTGACGTCTTTCTCCCAGTAAGGAGATTTCCCTTCACTTCCCGCCCCATAGCCGAAACAGGAAGTGTGAGAAAATCTCTCCAAAGTGAGGAGATCCTTGATGGCCTCCAGTTGTAGTGTCCCCATTAGAAAACTTCCCTTTCCTGTTCTGGGGACTACCCAATATGTTTTATTTTCTTTCACTCTAGGTGATAATGGTAAACAGGACAAAAAGAGTGGATGAATCTCCCTAATGGATGTAACATCCACATAAAGGGCAGGACCCAAGGTTTCCCAGCAGAACATTGTCCAAAGCATTACACTGCCTCTGTTGGCTTGCATTCTTCCCACACTGCATCCTGGTGTCATGTCTTCCATAGTTAAGCAAGGCACACGCACCCATTCATCTTACCAGGCCACCTTCTTACTGTGGTCCAGCTCTGATGCCCATGTGCCCATTGTAGACGCTTTTGGCTCTGGACATGGGACAGCATGGGCATTTTGCCCAGTCTGCGGTTATGCAGCCCCGTACACAACATACTGAAACCCTAATTTTTCTTGCTTTTAACACATCAACTTCAGAGACATGTTTACTTGCTGCCCCATATATCCCACCAACTTTCAAGTGCCATTGTAATGAGATAATCAATGTTACTCATTTAACCTGTCAGTGAACATCAAGTTATGGCTGGTCAATATATATTTTCAAAAATCAGTTGATATATAATATAAAATGTAAGTGGGTACACCTAGAACCACATACCTGGCTCAAGTGCCCAGTGTTATTGTTTTGTTTTTTTGGGGGTTTGTATTGTTACAGTATTTTATGCAAACTTACATCAAATACTGTAACAATAGACCAGGGTAGGAAACCTTTCAGAGGTTGAGATCTACCTGGACAATATGGAGGAAATGAAAGATCCCTGGGAAACTCTTTAAAAATAAACTATCAAGCCCTCAATAAAAATACGACATGAAGATCACAGTGTGTCACAGTAGTATACTCTTCACACCACCCCCCACAATAGTGGCCTCTGACCCTCCCAAGTAATGTCCTCTGCCCCCTTCACATCACCATTCCTCCCAATGTAGTATCTTCTGCCCCCCCCCCACTGCAATATACCCTGCCCCCTTCACATCACCCCCACTGTAGTGTCTGCCTCTCCCCCATAGCAATGTGCTCTGCCCCCTCCACCTCTCCCCCCTCACTGTAGTGGCCTATGCCCCACTGTCCTCCCCGTAGCAGTGTCCTCTACCCCTTTCACATCACTACCCCCCCAACTGTAGTGTCCGATGTCCCTCTGCTCCCCATAGCAGTGCCCTGTGCCCCTCTGCCCCCAATGTAATGTCTTCTACCCCCTTCACATCACCCCACTGTAGTGTCCTCTGCTTACCCCCAATAGAAGTGTCCTCTGCCCCCTCCAAATCACCCCTTACTATAGTGTCCTCAGCCCTTCTGTTTGTCCCCATAGCAGTGTCCATGCTTCCTTCACATCACCCCCTACTGTAGTGTCCTCTGCCCTCCATAGCAGTGTCCTCTGTCCCTCTGCCCCCCCCATAGCAGTGTCCTCTGACCCCCTCCACATCACCCCCCTACACTGTAATGTCTGATGCCCCCCATAGCGGTGGCATGGATTGGCAGCACTGATGGGCACTGATAGGAGGCACTGATATGCAGCACTGAGCAAGCACTGATGATGCTGCACTGATAGGCGGCACTGATGGGTTGCACTGCTGGGCACAGGTGGGTGGCACTGATGGGCACATGTGGGTGGCACTGCAGGGAACAGGTGGGTGACACTAATGGGCACAGGTGGGTGGCACTGATGGGCAAAAGTGGGTGGCACTGCTAGGCACAGGTGGGTGGCACTGATGGGCACAGGTGGGTGGCACTGCAGGGACAGGTGGGTGACACTGATGGGCACAGGCGGGTGGCACTGATGGGCACATGTGGATGGCAATGATGCGTACAGGTGGGCGGCACAGATGGGTACAGGTAGGCGGCACTGATGGGTACAAATGGGTGGCACTGCTGGGCACAAGTCGGTGGCACAGGTGAGCGGCACTGCTGGGCACTGATCATCAGTGCCCTGATGATCAGTGTCGATCACTTCTCTGACAATTGCTGGTTATCGGCAGTACTTTCCTCACGCTGTCACAACGCGAGGAAAGTGCAGCCGATAACCGGCAACTGTATTTACCCGGTGATCTGCTGTGTCATTGGACACAGATGATAACGTGGTAAAAGGCTGCTGTGATTGGCTGTTTACCATATCTTGTTATTAGCTTGTCTGTAGGACACAGCAATTACCGGCGACACCGTGTGACCGGCGCTGGGGGCGTACTGGGGGCGTGTTCTGGAATGATGTCCATGGACGTCATCCCAGAACCAGGCAACTGTGCTGTAGCTGTCATTCAGCTATAGGGAAGGAACTGGTTAAGGGTTGCTTAGTAATTTTTGGGTTCCCTGTCGATCTGGACCTCTCCTTGAAATCCCAACCTCTGCTGACACACCGTGCTCTGGTGCCCCAGGCAAATCAAACCTTAAAAATGGACTCACACACAGAGTAGTATAAATCAAAATTAAAATTAATATGAGATTTGGAGGTATCTGAATCAAGAATAACAAAATAACAGTGGTACTGGCAGCAAATCTGATCACTCTTGGCAATTGTAGGCAAAAGTAACAACCTCCACAATA